GGAATATAAATTAAGAAATGACGTTAAAGAAACTGAACTTTACATTTTGTTTCTAACGACCACGTCGCGTTAAAAGGGCAGATTTTCTGTTCCCGCCCCTCCAGCGAGCTGATTGGACGTCGGAGGATCAGTTAACCCCCCCCTTCCTCTGCCCCTGGAGGGCCAATCAGAGCCCTGCGTTTGACGAGCGAAGGAGTTTACTGTAGTTCCACACGGACGCTTTCTGTTGGTGTAAAATAAATCTAGTTTTTATAATGGTTTTTATAAACGCCACCGAGGAGGATCCCACTTCTTCACTCCCGTCCGGCCGCGCCCTCCCGACGCTCACAGGCCCCGCCCTCCCGACGCTCACAGGCCCCGCCCTCCCGACGCTCACAGGCCCCGCCCTCCCGACGCTCACAGGCCCCGCCCTCCCGACGCTCACAGGCCCCACCCTCCCGACGCTCACAGGCCCCGCCCTTCTCCATCGGACGGATCTTTCACGTTAATGTAGAAAGTAGAGGAGGGAGGAGAGAGAGAGAGAGAGAGGGAGGAAGGAGAGAGAGAGGGAGGAGCTGCTGAGAAGGAGGAGGAGCTAACGAGCTCAGTGTTGTTGTTGGCGTCTGTCCTGCTGAGGATCGTCTGTTCTCCCCTTAAACGATAATTCAGTCATTCATCTTTTCTCTGTAGAGCTCATTAACTGCCAGGTTTCCCTCCTCCTCTTCCTCCTCCTCTTCCTCTTCCTCCTCCTCCTCCTCCTCTTCCTCTTCCTCCACTGTGTGAGTTTTCTCTTCACCTCGAGTTCTTCGCCACAGCCTCGACACGCAGGAGTTATCTTTATTTATATCATCAGACGGTTGTTTTTTTTTTTTTTTTTGGTTTGAGCTCCGGGAGAAACCGTCCAATCAGAGAGTGACAGGAAGTTAAGCTGCCACCCTGATTGGCCGAGCGGCTCTGACGCACACAGGGGGAAAGTTTTATCTCATCGTTTGTTTTTTCTGTTTTAATTTAATTCTTCTTTTTTTTTAACTGAAGGGATTTGTATCGCGACTCCTGATTGATCACAAACAAAATCTTTATTTTCTTTTCACCCACGCTACAACTTACTGTGTAACTAAAGACTTTATGTTTGTGTAATGCATGATTAATACAATAAAAGTATTTTTTCTAGTCTTCCGAAAAAATGGAGAAAAAAAAGATCAGTTTGCGAGTTTTGATGAGTTTTGTAATTTTTTTTTTTTTTGATTTACAAACTATGAAACAGCAGATTTTAAAGATTGTACCACATAGCAGAATACAACTGTATATAAAATGTCTATAATAACTATTAAATGGTGTACCTGTACAGAGGCTGCTGCTCCGCCCATCTTTCTGTACCAACACTACAAAGGAAATGCACCGCCAGAATAAAAGTCTGACAGTGATTTTATAAAAGAAGTCTCCACAGGTACAGTAACTTATTATATCTTCAAATAAGTCATTAAAACTTAAATGTATCACAAAAATGAACATGGAGGCAGCTGGCGTTATACTGCTGCGAGCCATCAGGGGGCGATAAAGAGGGTTGGCCTGAAAACACAGCACGCATATTGCCACAGCAATATATATAAATATATATATATATAAACTGTAAAAGTAATAATACACATATTTGTTCAAACTGGTAAACACAACATTAACAGGCAAACAGCAACATGTTTGCATAATGTGGCCAGGGCTGCAGGTTGTGGCTGAGCTCACATATTTATATATAACTAGTAGATATTTGTCTTCTTCTGATTGATTTCTCTTGACCAGAGGCTCACAGGATAAATCAGGTCCTGAGATGATTGAAGGAAGAAGCTCCAACTACATTTATTTAATGGTTACTTTCAGATTAAGATCAGTTTTTGACTCATGATGGATTTAAACTAATTTTATTCATGTGACATTGTGAATGCATCATTAACAATGATAATCATTAAACACTGTATATTGAGTGCTGTCACTTTATTGATTTTAATCAATATTAAAGAAAATGCATCAAACTGTTGTTACACAGTAGAAATAATAGTATTTTAGTTTTAACAGTTCACACACGTCCTGGAAACACCTGGAAATTGTATTAAAATGATCAAATATGCTGGAATGGAACAGAGCCTAATTACTAACACCTGTGATTACCCTACAATTTTATGCCAAACTGCTGCTGTGAAAAAGGTCTATCTGGAAAACGTGGCAAGAAAGCGAGCGAACACAGAGTGTCTGAGAGACGATGACCACCAACACCTGAACCGCCAATAAAAACTCCTGGGAAATGTTTGAAAGAGAGTCGGAGCCCGAATTCAAAGTGAGTTATTAAAAGTCACATGTTTTGTTTTACACAAGTCTGGTGGAAACAACTGTTTTAGTTGTTTAAAGACCATAATGGTTGGTCTACAAGGATCAGGACTGTGAAGACCACTCATCATGTTGAAGATGTGACGTCTGTGCTGCCGCTGGGAGAATTAAAGTAAGTCAATGTTGAATTGATAATATTTTATTTTATATATTTCATCAAAGAAAACGTTTTATTTTGGTGATTTTTGTTGAATGAGTCAAACGGTCCTACAGGGAGTGTTTGAGGACGTGGACGGCCTCGATGACGGTGTGTCGTCTGTCGGTGCCTGGCGGGACCGCGGTGGTCGGGGCCTGGTGCACAGCGAGCAGGGTGTGGTGTCCATCGAAGGCGTGCTCGCTGACCGTCATGGCGTCCAGGTGCTGACGCAGCAGGAGCCTCAGCTGCCGGTTCTCACGGCTCAGGTCATCCCTTTGTCTCCTCAGAGCTTCTCGCTGCAGCAGCGCACGGTTCATGCTCAGCGTCACCCGTCGCAGCTCTGAGAACGCCAACGCCTCCTGCAGACAGAAACGCAGAGGTCAGTTTAAGAGTTCAGGTTTCTAGTTTCTAGTAACGACCCGGTTCGCTGCTTCCTGTCTGGTGCTGGAGAGAGAACCGTTGGCTCAAATCTCTCTGATCTGGAGGTCATTTGTTGGTGGAAAATCGGGACCAAAATCAAAGACTTAATTAGGAACTGGAGCTCAGAATCACATCCTACCTGTGCCGGTCCCTCTGTCTCAGCTGCTTCCTGTCTGCAGTCCTCTGTAGGGATTAATCCTGACAACACGTTCATCTGCTCGCTCTCCAGCTTGCGACACATTTCAGCGGCCCGTAAAACCCTCTCGCCCTGCGGTGAAGAGATGAATGAGAGCCGGCAGAGAGAAGGGGACACAGCGGGACAAACCGGTGTGAGACGACTCACCTTGGCGATGACCGCCTGCAGTTTCTTGACGGCGTTGTCACTCTGGACTGTGAGATCGGTGAGTTGCTTCCTTGCCGCCGTTTGAGCCTGAGTCAGCTGGTCCCGAAGCTTGTGAGTCTTTAGGTTCACCTGCTTTTTGGCGGCGATCAGATCGTCTTCCACCGACTGTTTTTCTGTCTTACAGGAGTTCAGTCTCACCCTCAGCAGAAGGACTAAACCCTAAGAGAGGAAGGAAACAAGATGGAGGCTTTCATTTACAGTCTGATTCTACGTTAAACATTTGATGTGTGAGTCAATGTGTGTGAGCAGAGAGTGAACAGGTTGTAGTGTAGCTTTGTCCCTCTGCTGTCTGTGGACTGATCTCTATGTGTCTCTATGTAGGATGAGGGTCAAAGGTTGTGACCTTTATGCTCCCGAGTGCCAACAGTGTCCAACACAGAGTCCAACACAGAGTCCACAACACAGAGTCCAACACAGAGTCCACAACACAGAGTCCACAACACAGAGTCCAACACAGAGTCCACAACACAGAGTCCACAACACAGAGTCCAACACAGAGTCCACAACACAGAGTCCAACACAGAGTCCACAACACAGAGTCCAACACAGAGTCCAACACAGAGTCCACAACACAGAGTCCAACACAGAGTCCAACACAGAGTCCAACACAGAGTCCACAACACAGAGTCCAACACAGAGTCCAACACAGAGTCCAACACAGAGTCCACAACACAGAGTCCACAACACAGAGTCCAACACAGAGTCCACAACACAGAGTCCAACACAGAGTCCAACACAGAGTCCACAACACAGAGTCCAACACAGAGTCCACAACACAGAGTCCACAACACAGAGTCCAACACAGAGTCCACAACACAGAGTCCAACACAGAGTCCAACACAGAGTCCACAACACAGAGTCCACAACACAGAGTCCACAACACAGAGTCCAACACAGAGTCCAACACAGAGTCCAACACAGAGTCCACAACACAGAGTCCACAACACAGAGTCCAACACAGAGTCCACAACACAGAGTCCAACACAGAGTCCAACACAGAGTCCAACACAGAGTCCACAACACAGAGTCCAACACAGAGTCCACAACACAGAGTCCAACACAGAGTCCAACACAGAGTCCAACACAGAGTCCACAACACAGAGTCCAACACAGAGTCCAACACAGAGTCCACAACACAGAGTCCAACACAGAGTCCAACACAGAGTCCAAAGTCAAAGCTAACATTACTGCTAAGCTAGCGGGCTGCAGTTCACTGAATGGCCACTGGAGGCGCTGTTAGCTACAGTTTAATGAAAGTTACATATAGAAACTTTATAGATTATAAATGATCAGAATAAAGTTCCACTGACCTGCAGGCTCTGCACCTTCTTTACGTCTGCGTCGGCCCTCTCAGTGAACTTTTGGTTTCTGAACAGCAGCTCGTTGAGCTTTTTTGTTTCTTTGCTGGAAACGTGCGCCGATTCCTGGTTCTGGAAGGATTTCACATTCAGCTTCTCCTTGTCCTCCAGGACCAGAGAGGCCGTCTGTTCACAGAGAAAGGAGACAATCGTCAGAGACGCCTTTACATTGGACTGAACAAGTCGAGATGGAACCGGTTCTGTTCACCCTGTTGTCGTGGTCGCTCGCGTACGACGCCATGCTCTCGCTGTACAGTCTGTGGAGTTCGGTCATCATGGTCTGGTGCTGCTGCTCCACTGTGAACCTGGCGTCTCCCAGATCAGCTCGCTGCTGCTTGGAGTTCGACAACATCTGCTTCCTGGAAAAGAAAACACGTTCACACCGGAAACATTACGGATCAGAATGTGACAACCGGGACTTTTCCTCAAGACCCAAAATGTGCACGAGAAATATCGACATCATCACATCAGATCTGCTGCTGAGGGTAGGGGGCTGTGGGTAGGGGGCTGTGGGTAGGGGGCTGTAGGTAGGGGGCGCTTTAGTTAGGGGCGCTGTGGGTAGGGGGCTGTGGGTAGGGGGGCGCTGTAGGTAGGGGGCGCTGTGGGTAGGGGGCTGTGGGTAGGGGGGCTGTTGGTAGGGGGCGCTGTAGTTAGGGGGCTGTAGGTAGGGGGCGCCTGTAGGTAGGGGGCTGTCGGTAGGGGGCGCTGTAGTTAGGGGCGCTGTAGGTAGGGGGCTGTGGGTAGGGGGCACTGGATAGGGGGCAGTGGGTAGGGGGGCTGTGGGTAGGGGGCGCTGTGGGTAGGGGGGCTGTGGGTAGGGGGGCTGTGGGTAGGGGGGCTGTGGGTAGGGGGCTGTAGGTAGGGGGCTGTGGGTAGGGGGCTGTGGGTAGGGGGCTGTGGGTAGGGGGCGCTGTGGGTAGGGGGCTGTGGGTAGGGGGCACTGTGGGTAGGGGGCGCTGTGGGTAGGGGGGCTGTAGGTAGGGGGCTGTGGGTAGGGGGCTGTGGTAGGGGGCTGTAGGGGGCTGTGGGGGGGGCACTGTGGGTAGGGGGCACTGTGGATAGGGGGCACTGTGGGTAGGGGGCTGTGGGTAGGGGGGCTGTGGGTAGGGGCGCTGTAGTTAGGGGGCTGTAGGTAGGGGGGCTGTAGGTAGGGGGCTGTGGGTAGGGGGCACTGTGGGTAGGGGGCACTGTGGATAGGGGGCACTGTGGGTAGGGGGGCTGTAGGTAGGGGGCTGTGGGTAGGGGGGCTGTGGGTAGGGGGCACTGTGGATAGGGGGCCTGTGGATAGGGGGCAGTGGGTAGGGGGGCTGTGGGTAGGGGGGGCTGTGGGTAGGGGCGCTGACCTCTCAGAGTGGAACGTGGAGCTGAGGAGCTGCAGGCTGTCCTCCCACTGTTGCTGTACGAACGTCAGACGTTTGTCCTGCTGCGCCCACAGACGCTCCAGGTGCTGCAGGTGAATCCGTCGCACCCGCGCCGACTGAAGCTCCGCCTCCTGCAGGTCATGCTCCAGATTCTGCCACACAAACACAAACAGGAAGTGACACGCAGGCGGTCAATACGTTATCGGCAGCGTGAAAGAACAGGGCGGCTCACCTTGATGACGCTGTCCAGGCCGTCCAGGTGTCTCTCAAACGTCTGACCGAGCACCGCGATGTCTTTACGCAGCTCGGCGGCTCGAGTCTGGCGGAGGATGGACCGCCAGCCTTCGTTCAGCTTCAGCAGGTTCACCGCGGTGTTCTTCTCCTCCTTCTGCAACTTGTCCTGGTTTCAAACAGACATCAGAGCGACTCGCTGAGACCAACCACGGATTGTGTTTGTAGTTCAACGTAATGTAACGTTAATGTTACCTTCAGGAACAGTGTCAGGATCTCCTCCTTCTTCTGGGCCAGCTCCTCCTCAGCCTGAGCTCTCTGCTGCAGGTACAACAGCCTCTCCTCCTCCGTCTTCCCAACGCCTTTCCCTCCTCCACCTTTCTTTGCTTTCTTCGGCATGATCTCCTCCTCCTCTTCCTCACTCTGCTGGTAAAGAAACACAGACTTCCAGTTGATGCACATTAGACCACAGACCAGGTTTTAGCTTTAAGAGAATAAAAGTCGGTTAGGGTTAGTAATACTTCTGTATACTTATATTATATATTTGTTTAATATTGGTAGTAACGGGCTTCCGTACTGCAGACTGTGCTACTGAAATGACGCTAACGTTAGCTGCAGTTTGTCCTCACAGATAGAAAACGATCCTTTGAGCTAACGGGAGCTAACGGGAGTTAACGGGAGCTAACGGGAGCTAACGGACGTTAACGGGAGCTAACGGACGTTAACGGGAGTTAACGGAAGCTAACGGACGTTAACGGGAGCTAACGGACGTTAACGGACGTTAACGGGAGTTAACGGGAGCTAACGGACGTTAACGGGAGCTAACGGATGTTAACGGACGTTAACGGGAGCTTACGGACGTTAACGGGAGCTAACGGGAGCTAACGGACGTTAACGTTAACGGATGTTAACGGACGTTAACGGGAGCTAACGGACGTTAACGGGAGCTAACGGAAGCTAACGGACGTTAACGTTAACGGATGTTAACGGACGTTAACGGATTAACGGACGTTAACGGGAGCTAACGGACGTTAACGTTCACTGGCGGTAAATGAAAACATTTAAACATTGAACGGCTCTGTGTGCGAGAGAAAACAACTCCGTTACTGAATCATTGTTTGCGACCTACCTGTGAGAACCGAGAGGAAACAACTGTCCACCTGTCGGACTGCTTCGTGTTTGTGTTCCGTCTCCATGGCAACGGCGTTAGAGAGCCGCCATGTTGGTTCCAAAGGCGGAAGTAGATTCAGATTAAAGCGCGTGCTCTCCCCGGTATAATAATAATAAAATCAACATGATTAAATTTAAAAGGCTAAAGGTAGAACCTGATACTGTCTGCTGAGGTTTACATATTAATGCTATATATTTTATATATAGCATTAATATGCTTTATGTCTACAAAGATAATAATAATAATAATAATAATAATAATAATAATAATAATAATCTTAGATCCATGTTTTTATATTCTAATGATCTCACATTCAACACATTTTATAATTCCAATATGATTTATTTTCAATAAAAACCTCCAACAAGGACACATTAGGGTTTATTAGATATTATGAAGCTCTTGAGCTGTAAAAATACAAATAATATATTTTATATATTATTTGTATTTTTTATATCTACAAAGATCTGCTTTCTGTGTTTTATATCATGTCCCTTCGGATAGGACAAAAACTAACAATAACACTACTAATACTACTAATAACAAAATAATAATAATAATAATAATAATAATAATAATCTTAGATCCATATTTTTATATTCTAATGATCGATCTCACATTCAACACATTCTGTAATTCCAATATGATTTCTTTTCAATAAAGTTTGGACACCAGGCGGCGCCACCTCCCTGAGCTTCAGCACATGAACAGACGTCGAAGGACTCTGTAAAAATAACTATTCTTTATTGGGAGACACGAGGAAAACAGGTAATAAATACAGGAAAAGAACAGAATCAGTATTTAACATACAAATGATTATAAATTGTGACGACTCCTGCAAACACACAAGTTTAACCTGCTGATCTGTTTCCTCCATCAAGGTTCAGGTTCACTTCCTTACAGACTGCCATCAGGTTATTTCTGTACAGCAGCAGAAACCTTTAAAAGCCGGGAGGGGAGAGCGGGAACGAAAGCAACACTTACGTTACAGAGAGAAACGTCTATCAATAACTCACGTTTGTTTTCCATCACTGATGCTGATACTTTGAACATTGAACGAACGCTTTAAACTCATTATTTTTGGTTTAATTTAAAGTGTCCTCGTTAATGCTTAACTACACATCTTAGCAAAAAATATTTCTTTCTTTAACTTGTACAGTATTCACAGTAAAACAGGTTTAAGGGAAAATTTTACACTATAAAAGTCTAAAAAAATAACCATTTCCTCTATTACCGACATAAGTACTTTTTTTTATTAATTACATTTTTTAAACAATGTATTGTTTTTTAAATACATTTTTGCATTAAAATTGTATTTTACTTCATTTCATATTAATAATCGATTTGTATTCTTCTCTAACAAAGGAGATAAAAACAGCTGACAGTTAAAATATTCAATAATCTGTCAAATTATCATAAATATAAAAACAATAAACAACTGTTCATTCAAAGAACATTGAACCTCCAGTGAATTCACGTATCAACGTACGTACTGACAACGTTTGGCTCTGAGAAAACAGCCGTGTTACTTTCGTACCGACTCTCCTTCTTTTAATTATTGTCCAATTTAAAAAAAAAAAAACAATTAAAGTTGCAGTTTTATAGAAATAAAGTTTCTGTCATATTTGCTGAAACTTTCACTTCATCCTGACAGCAGAACATGAGACAATCTGGCTCCTCACTTATAATTAAATTAGTACCATTAACTTAATTTACCTTAACAATAAATACTTGAGTTACTCAAATCAAATATATTTTTCATGAGATAATACATTTAAATGGTTTAATCGGTTTCCTCAAACAACTTGAGTTGAACTCTGATTGGTTGTTTTCATTCGGGCCTGGTGGATTCTTTTAAATCCCATCGGGAGGAGCCAGAGGAACCTGAACAGACCAAACTCTATGTAGCACTGGCTCATGGAGGAAAACATCACGAGTAATTGTGCTCTCGAATTAAAAGAACAATGGTTGACATTTAGCCTTTAACAGGGTAGAAAGACAGGAAACAGATCGGATGTAACCATTAGTTTAAGAAAAATACAGAAATCTACAGCACTGGTTCCCAACCTTTAATTGTTATTGACTATATTTGATTTATTTTTAATATTCTGTTGATCAGTATCAATAACAGTAGAAAACAGCTGATAAACTGATCAATGAACCAAACAGTGAAATCAATAACTGCAGGAAGTTTGATTATTTCCTGTGGATATTGATCAGAGATGAGTTTTCCTGATATTTTGATCCATTCTCTGTCTGTATTCTGTATTTTTATCATTTTAACAATCAGACTTAATATTCTTCTTTCTGACAGATTCACTGTTTATTCTCATTGTTCTATCAGCTGTTTGGTTTCATTTAGTTTTCACAGAAATTAATGAAATGCTGAGATACAGGCCGACTGCGTATATATTTGTAGTTTCCTTAAACCCCTTAAAATCAAGAAGACCTTGCGACCTCCCGGTGAAGCTCCCTTAGTGGGAGCGTTGGGAGCGTTGGGAACCAGTGCCGTACGGGTTTGACAAATGTACATCAGGATAATTACAACATAAAGAGTTAACAAGTCATTTGTTGTGTTTTATGATAAAAAATTAAAAAGGAAAATAGAAGGAGATGCTTTGAGAATTGTCAGTGTAGTTTTATTGATTACAGATTAGTTTCCGTCGCTTACTCGTGTTCACCTTGAGTTGAGAATATTTTATCACAGAAAAGATTTCCCAACATCAAGATTCAACTTTGGGAATTTCTTCTTTGCGTCTTAAATTAGATGAGTTGTTGGAAGGTGTTTTTCTTCGCCTGAATCTTCTTAAAATAATAAGAAAAAAAACCCAAAGTGTCCCACGAGGAGACAACTTTCTTGGTGACAGCTTTTAAGTTTAAATACCAAAAAATCCATCAGAAATCATTCACTTGGTCACTGATCACTGAGTGTGCTGATATCTATGAAAGCCCATTTACGCCAATATGATTTTAAAAAATAGATTATGTAAGTTAGTATAATGAGAAACTTTCTCAAAATAATGACTGAGTATCACAACGTCACATTGGCAAAAATAGGCTTCCATAGTTTTAACAAAATGTTTTTTCACCTGGATTCAAGAATTCAGGTAATTGTTTTTGAGTAGTTTTCAGAAATGATGGGTAAGTTCTGTAATTTTTGCATAAATGTTGCATTCCCAAAAAAAACATTTGCATTAATAGTTAAGTTTTCTTAATTATCATTTAGTATCTTGTAATTTACTGCAAAATATTATATGCAGACCTCAAAACTATTTCTTTACTCTGTAATTACAAGATACAAAATAAGAATCATTTTTTTGTAATTACTCGTAACTATGAGCTTGTTTTCTCATAATCATAAAAAACTCTTACAATTATATTTATTTAGTAAATTATGAGATATGAAAGTCATAATTACAAGATTCAGAATACATTTTTTTTTCTCTTTAACCAGATGTTTCTTCAGGGTCTAGGGTTTTATTTTATAGTTAGCATGTATTTTATATAAATTAGTTTCCTTTAAAGTTAAAATGTATTCTGCTGGCTAATACGACGTTAATGTTTTTCTAAGTTTTATATTTTTTACTAGTTTTTCTGATGTACTTCGGGGGTAATTTGGGAACCTTTTATATTGTAATCAATCCGATCAAACACACTGACAGTGGAAGTGAGAAGTGACTGATTTTGGTTTCGACTGTTGATGGTAATAATTGGTTGTTTGGTGATTTCCCAACATCTCCTTCATTAAATAGAAAAAAATGTTTTTGGTATACATGTGTGAATTTCTATGTTGTGTCTTTTATATACATGTGTTTTCATGTGTATGTATCGGTATTAGTTGGTAAATGTGTACAGTTTATATACAGTGTGTGCTCTTGTACTTCTATCTTCGTGAGGACCCCATTTTGTACCTGCAGAGTGAGGACATTTTGAAAAGCGAGGACATTTAGTCTGGTTTTCACTTCTTCAAACATCTATTTGAAGGATACAATTTGGTTTTAGGTATAGGGACTACACAAGTGTATAGGAGTACAAATAAGTACTTCTATTTTTGTGACGACCTGTTTCTCTACCTGCAAAGTGAGGACATTTTGTCGAGTAATCACATCTTCCAGCTGCTGGAGGGTTCAGACTTTGTTTAAGCTGGAGTTACAGGTAAAGCTCTCATCACAAATACAGAAGCACAAACACGTTGCTTTTAGTTGTTCTCTGTGAAGTCTCGGCAGATGCCTCGGACCAGAGCCGGGATGAACTCGGCGAGGCCAGTGAACTCTCTGGTGAAGAAGGTGTGGCTGTCCTTCGGCTCTGATGCCATCGCTTTGAGGTCTTCAAGGGGTGCCCAGGCCACACCCACCGAGTACATGGTGATGCCTAGTGATCAGTGGAGATGTGGATTACAGTAAGAACTGAAAAACACACAGCAGCAGTTTTTCGTCCTTCATTTTAACATACACACCTTGTTTCCGTGCAGCTACCGCCGGGCTTATCACATCATCATATGATTGGCCATCTGTCACCACGATAAGGAAGTTGCGGCCTGGTCCTGTCCGCCTGGTGGAGACAAATTGAGTTTATTTTTCCACAGACTGTAGAAATATTTCATTTAAATGTTGGTTTTCCAGACAAAGGTTTGAGGGGCTGTGAGATAATAAAAATTGTAGGTATTAAAAATTACTTGGTAAATGGTCACAAAACGCATTTTAAAGAACCAGTGCGTCACAGAATATGTCAGGTAATATTATTGATTAGGTCCCTTTTGTGTGACCTTGCAGTTTGACTAATCCTTGCAGGATCGTTCAGGCTACGTCACCAAACTATTAGTTTTTTCCCTTTTTATTTTTAATGAATTCTACAAAAAAAAAATCTAGTTTTGAAATTTTTTTTACTTTCTTCGTTACATAAAAATGCCTAAAAACATTGCAAATGTTTTATAAAAGCTGCTGTGAAATGCAACAATTACTGTCTGACTTCCTGTCTTAAGCTCTAAGGTTCAAACATATTAGTTCCCACTGAAGACGTAAATCCATAAAAAAAAAAGGTAATTTCTTTGTATGCTGCCTAA